TTTAATTAGGGCATATAATGTTACATTTCAATACTCATAAAGGTGTCTAAAAAGTAATAAGTTCATTTATAGGTACAAACGCGAACGCGCAGCTTATAATTACTTATACTTATTTTTACATTATTCATAACTGTCTATTATAATATCATAATATTTAATATAATGGAAAAAATATTTTTAGTCAAAATCGCAAGTTTTTAGAAGAATAAACAGCAAAAAAATATTAGACTAATAACTAACTCACGGACCATGGCTCAATAAATCAGTCGTGTTGAATTTTTTGCAATTAATTATGTAATTATTGTGTTGTGTTCACTGATAGCTGGTAATAATATATTTCATGCGATCAACTTATGTATAAATATATTATAATACAGTACATAAGTGTATACTGTTCCGTTACACCAAAAACAAAGGCAGAAGAAAACTCCAATATTTATGTGTGAATATTCTGTTGTTTGTCCATTGAAAAGTGAATGATCAAACAATGAAACTTCGCGATATCATGTAAACTTTAGCTAAATACTTTTATAATACTTAGCTATACGGTTTCCCGAAAGTGCATAATTACGGGTACACACTTCAGGATACGTACACATTACACTTATACATGCTCCTCTCTAGAAGCGGTTCCGGACAAATTTATGGAATTCCACTTTTATTCCTATAGCGTGCACTTGTACAACATAATATAATATATTAATCACATATACATGTTACGAGTAAAGTAGACTATCGGGCAATGTTCACATATTATGATGGGCAATGTAGGTAAAATTATACTTTGTCCGGGCTTTATAGAATTGTCCAGTCTAAGTTGGGAAATGTAAATCAATTTGTTTGAAATATTAAATTTACAACTGACTCTGTTCTTACAACAGTTATTTTATTTATTCTATTATCTATTTTTCCTTCAACCAATGTTTCATCAACTTTACAATAATTTCCAGTATCCATAGATATTATAGCCACTTCTAAATCATCTTCAATTTTTAATTTATTAATAATTATTGAAATTAGATGTACAATCATGATGTAAAATCATCGTTTAATCCAATTTTTACTCTACATTCAAACATTGTTTCTATATTATCATACCAATTACTTTATTAAATATAAATATTAAAGTACGTATATAGTTCCAAAAATATAATACGTACTAAATTGACTGTAACATAATACCTCCTCACTATATCTACTCTTTCTTAATCGTTCAACACATTATAAAAAAAAAAAATGTATTCAAATGGAAAGTTTTGTTTATAGCTTAAGTTACAATGCCCGATTTAGTTCGGGCAAAGTAACTTAGACCGGTCGAAGTACAACCTTACATGGCATAAATAGTATTTTTAAGATATTGCCTAAAAACACCGGGCAATATAAAACATTGCCCGATAGTCTACTTTGCCCGTAACATAGGTACATACAACATACATGTGGTCCAAGTGTCAAATATAGTTAACGTCGCGTATATTGGATTTTCAATACTTTTTGCGAAAAGATCAGAGGATCGACGCATCATATCTGGACGATGGTTAGAGCGTTCACCAATCATTCGACGGTCCAATCTATTTAACCGTATCGTCGTATTCTTTCAACCGTTATAACAACGGCGACGATAATAATATTGTATATTGTCATAATTTAGAACGGGGCATCCTTTGTTTGGTCGATTCGCGTGCAAATCGTCTCTTTATAAGATCGCTATATAATATATTTAACGGTAGCGCCGTCTGGCCACGCCCCCGACGCGTTTTTCGTGCAACCATTGTTTTTACTTGAGTGCGGTTCGACCTTTTTCGCATTCATATTATACATAATACGTATAGGTATACTTTACAGTGCAGGTACTCGGGCTTAAACAAGATGACTTTTTTGTTCACGTCGTGCGTCTTTTGCCAAGGTTAAACGACCGTCTCGTTTCTCTATAATCTATAAGCTACACGGCAATCATTGCGAAATAAAAAACCATTTTGAAAATCGTAAACTTTCACATCGCTACAACATAACTTGGTCGTACCACATGTTACACGTACACACAACGAAATTGGTATAACTATTACGCTGCTGTTGCGTTATTTCTTCCGTGGTCCATCAGGTTTTAAGAAAAAAAAAATGATTTCGTCGTACCTAATAATTACGCAGTGGTTGGCCTGATGTACATATTCACATACGCCAATTTCGTGTACAAAGTGATATTTTTTTAACGCAACACACACGCATTATTTCGATAATATTATGTCAAAGTACAAACATCGAATATCATATCAGTTAGTCATTACTCATAAACTAAGCAATATAACTATATGTAGATATTTGTAAGTATTCAAATTATAAACGAGTAAATTATAGTACGACAATAAATTTTGAGGGACATCACCTCGCTACACTCCATTCTGTTTGTGGAAATTTAAAATATTTATAAATATAAATTCTTTAGTTTGAAATTCGATAGTTGATATCCAATTAAATAATTAATTAACGAAATACAAACATTTATATTTAAATTTATTTTTGAATAAATTAAATTTTTTTTAATAAAATTAAACATGCAAAATAGTTAAAATAGCTATCACAGTTTAATACAAATTAACATGAAATAAAAAAAAAAAAATAGTTAAAACATTAAAATTATAAATTTATATGTAATTTTGTGAAAATATGTGTGTAGGTGCTCGTATCATATTATATAATAATGATTGTACCAATAATGTGAACTTGCTATTATTTTACACATAAGAAAACGTAATATTTATAACTTAATAAAATAATATTTCCTACGACAATAAATTACATAAACATGTAATATTCGTTTACTTAAGATTGTTAGTCAGGAATGAGCAAGACATTTGATGAAATAGGTATCTAAATACAAAATACATTTCTAAATACATAATTTTTTACTTCTAGATATTTTTTTTTTTTACGTTTAAATATTGTTATATAATTCTATGTATATGATAAAAGATACATTTTATCTATTAATGATTATACGAGAGATGTACTACATGTTTAAAAAAAATAATCATTATGTGATATATTACTGATCTAACTATTAATCGGAAATATAATTAACTTAATACCATAACAATATACTGTACATTAAAAATGTTTAACCAATATAATCGATTTTAAAATCAGTTTTAAATTTATTTTTAATCAAATCAAATATTCAGTACACAAATTTGGGAAAATTATTTATTATTATTATTGAAAAAAAATATCAAAAATTATATTATCAGCTATTAATATATAATATATATATATATATATATTACACTACACATATACATTCATCGTTCTCTGCGTTTAATGATATGAATTTTTTTATTTTAATTTAATAAATGATTTATATAATACATTGGATATCTAAAAATGTATACCTATAACCTATGAAATAGTTATTATTTTATAGTTAATTTCAATAAAAAAAAAAAAAAATTAATTAATTAATGAATCGCCATTTGAATCTAGTATCTTTACACAGAAAATAAGATTCTATGTACTAGATACTAATAAGTAATAACACATTTCAAAAGATTCAGTATTCAAGATACAAATTTATCTAAAAAACGTATCTTAGACACTGTTTATCACTGCAGTGATACTACTGTCAATATCATAAAAATACACGAATATATAACTATAACATGCGAACTGTGATGTTTTTTCACTTTAAGCGTACTCTAAACCATTCATGTTAAGAGTTTCATTAATTTCTTATAAAAACTTTATTTTGATATTAATGATAAGATGAGTACATCTATAATCATCATGGCACAACACAAAAAAATCCAAACGCAAAAAACCTGTACATAACATTCAAGAATAAAATTACAAAATATAGCATTTTAAACGGTTTGGTTAATTGAGATTGAGAAGTATATCTGTATAACCTATTACTATCATCAATAAAATATATCAGAAATGTATACTCACTTTCATTTCAATGCCATTACATTCGCGCGTAATTATATTTCACGTCGAGTACAAAATATTGCGTTGAGCGTTTTAATATAAGCTTTTCTTTAAACTTCAATATTTTCAGGAAATTACATAATTATTACATGTAACGAAAATATAATCTAATTTAACAATATACAGTAAAATATTAATAAATATGCATTAATCATTTAAATATGATTTATTCATATTATTGTTAGATATTATAATATGTGTACTTAATTTATAGCGTACAGCCCACAAGTATAATATTATACATAATTTATTTATCTATTGTCAATGAAATTCCATTATTATTATCATTTTAATAACAAATTAATTCATATAGGTATGTACGTATGTTCAAAATTTTGAAAAACCTCGCGATTATACAATTTTTCCATAATGATAATAAAAAAATTATTATTTATTATTACCTATCTGTTGATTAAACATTATAACGATTCGTGCAATAAATAAAAAATAAAAATAAAAAATGCGAATCTCCTCATCACAGAGCAAATAGATGCTCTTCATTTATACATACACAATATTATGTTGCTCACACAAAAGTTTACTTGCTTTGATTATATCTTTTAACATCCCAGTTAATTCACAGTCTATGCATTCCTTTGAAAATTCACAATATATCGTTATTATTTTATCCATAGTTATTTGTTTTCTACCATGTTGGTTTTTAAAATTTAATCTTTTCTATGATTTAATCAATTAATACGTAATACTTTGTTTTTATCAAAAATATATTATTTTTGAAACTAATTTATGATGTTTACCAAGTATAATAAAATAAAAACATATCATGCAGTTGATTTACGTTTCACGGTCTAGGGAGAATGACGTCTACACAACGGTTGTTTTAAGGTTATTTTAGGTATCCGGTATATTATATACCTACTATATTATGTAACAAGTGCACACAAGGTGTGTGTTTTAATTTCGCAGAAACTTAGGCACGCATTCGAGTGCAACGAATTTTTAGGGAGGGCATGAGAAGGAGAATACCTATAGTATTGACAAATGTTTTTCACTGCACTGTATGCACGTAGTCACGAATACTTTTACTCGGCGCTTTTAATCCATGCCGTACAGTGCTCATATCACTTAACCGTTCGTCACCTACGCGTGGACTGCTGCTGTTGTTTTTGTAAGTATCTATAATATTATTTTATATTATAACCAAAGTGAACGAAGCGATACTTTTATTAATCATCGGTTAATATTTTCTTGGTAAATTTACGCGTCTTTTGAAAAATAAATATAATTTTTTATTATATTAATTTTATCGTTGTCATTTTTTAGTTTGTATGTATTTAAAAAAAAATAACTAAAGCTTTATGTGTCCAGGAGTGCGACCAAAATTATTTTTGCGATACCTAAGACTGTACCACGCCACTCCGTTCATTTGCGCTAAGTGCTTATAGCTAATTTTTACTGTCGGATCGAAATACATTATAATATTTTGTCATTTAAAAAAATAAAACATTGTAAATTATGTAAAAAATAAAATGGTTTTATAAGCAAATAAATTTATCAAGAAAATGGTTAGTGATGAAAGAAATGATAATCGTCATGATGAATATTTTGTTGTTACGCGTTATTATATTTTACCTATCGTAACAAAATATGCAGCTACGATTGCCGACGAAAATCTTATTCGTCAAAATTGTAATAAGAATCGTTTTCCACGATTCGTTATTAATTAGCGTACCGTTTAAAAATTACTTGTACCTACAATATGCGCAATCGTATATGCTTATGTCACCCTTACAAGTAGTTCTCGCTATACGTTTTTGCGTGTCTTTCTTAAGCGAGGTATTATGTATATCACTCGGAGTCGTACAAAGTTCATGCACTAGGTTTGGTTTGATTAGAGTTTGGCGCGAATATATTAAATAATTATTACTAATAATGTCCCTGAAGTTCCCATTATTGTTTATTATAATATTATAGATATACCACTTGTGTCATCGTTTTTCTTTTGAATATTGCCCGCAAAAATTGTGTTTTTATAACGAATTCTGATTTTTTTACAACATGAACAGGTATTGTAAATTATCTACTAAATGAAATACAGAATAATAAAATGTATGAGAGGTATAAACACTAAACAGCGCCGCCGATCGGTCGGTCACCTGTACGGCGGCGACAATGACGGTAAAAATTATTATACTTGGAAATAGTAATAAATTATTATATTAGAACATTCGTGTAAAATAAATATCGGAAATTTCAATGTGGAACATTGTACGTTCCCTTTCTTTTAAGTCGACCCTGAGTACTCTCCCTCCGAGTCGCGTTTTCAAGACTTTTCTCTGTACCGTACGCTATTGGGTTATACTTCATGAAGAAAGGTCCATCCAACGAGTGACGATGACCACACAATAATTCTGTATCTATCATACTATACAAGGTATAATATATAATAATACAGTATGCGCTAAATAATGCGCCAGCAGTGGTTTTCCGAAGTCTATCATAATACTATCCGTGACACTCTTCGAATATATCATATTATTATCAGCTCTTCATATAATATCATATAACCAGGTAATAATAGTAATATAATATTATTATAATTTTTTAATAGCCATGAATAACTTTTATTATTATTAACACTTTGGTTTTTAATAATTTTTTTTTTTTTTTTTAACTAATAAACGCATATTTTGTCGAATCGCATCGATCACTTCCAACATAATTTTGTTAGATTTTCCCAATTGTATAACATCGATAAAACAATTTCGAAAAAAAACGTATCCATCGATAATATTGTCGTTTATAAGACGTTATTATTTGAAGTGTTATACTGTTACACATAACATTTTATTTGTTGTACTATTACAAATCCCATACAAATACGCTATTATTATTTAAACTAATAATTTAATTTTTAAAACATTATCGTTTTAAAAATGTAATTCTAAAATCGTCAATTTTTAATACACTGCATGCATTTACTGTCAAAATGTTAAAATACGCATTTCATAGGCATTATGATATTGGATTAAAAAAATCCATTTAGTCAGAATTTCTTTTTTGTAAGTATTTTATCTATTTATTTTTCAATTACTTTTAAACATTTAATCGTCGTGCCATTATATTAATACAATAATTTTAATTTTATTATTTTTTGATACTATGTTAACATTGTTTAAAGTAATTTTAAAAATAATACTAAGGTAATATAAATATATATGGAACTATAGTTGTATATCATATAAAAAAAGTTAATAAATCATTAGAATAATTATTCAATATTTCAAATATATGATATAATACAGAGCAAATTTATTTTTTATTTTTTTTGTTAAACCATCATAATATACACATTATTAGTATACATAATTAATTTAAATTAATTTTATATTAAAAACGCCAAAATAAAAAAAAATTAAAAATTATTTTAATATAATAATATAATATAACCTATAGTTCTTATTATAATGATAAAATCATATTTAATTATTTTTCCATTCGTTATTTACTATAACCTAAATAAATATTATTAAAGTATAATATTATATTATAAAGTTTCACTTGTTAAATTTAAATGATTGAAAGTAGAAACACTATTATTATGAACAGCAAAAAAATATTAATATTTTCAATTATTGTCGTAAAAAAAAAAAAAAACCAGAAATAAATATTTCATGTTCCTAATCACTAGTTTCCCATGACTTCACTCTTGTAAAAATATATTTAAAATGTCTTACTAAATACCTATTGAGTTATATAATTATAATTTAATAAAAAATAGTTATGTAACTATTAAACAATTAATTTAATTATCTAATACAAAACTTCTACAGGAAATATGCATCAATTAAACCACATACGTCATGCTATTATTTACTGTGTTTTTAATGTGTATGCATTAATTGTATTGTATAACACATACCATTTGAATTTACTAAGTTTGTTCATAAATTATATTATTATATTAGGTCAATTTTGAATATAAACAAAAGACATTAACCAATAATACAACATTTACATATTTTGGTATACAAAACATATAATAATATTAATATTTATACATACCTCACACATATTCTAGTATTATCATAATTTAAATATAAAATGTATCATTCATTAAGTACAGGTACCTATTAAAAAATTCAAGTACGATCTATTAAAATGATAAAAATGCAACGTATTTGATACGTAGTGACGTAGGTATTATCTAAGATAACAATTCAACGAATACTTTAAATTGTAAATTTTATTTTGGATTTAATCATTTTTATTGTGTATATAATTAAAATATTATATTTCAATGTATATATCACGGAAAAAACGTACAAATAAATTATTATTTACTAATGTCAAGAAATATTAAAAAATGTTACGACTGTAGTAAACCATGTTTACTCATTGTATCTGGCGTTTCCTAACCTAACTACACGACTAAACAACAAAATAAAAACTTTTAAAATATTATTTTTTTTTTTTAATCCGGCCAGGATAAATATGCTGTAGTATTATCAATTAAACATTTAAAAACGTTTAAGGCTCTTTATTATCATTATAAAACCTGTTAAGTATTAATGTCTCAATAATTATAGTTAAATGACACACGAAAAAGAAAATAAATCGTATTACATAATATCGAAAACATATTAGTACTTAGTAGGTACCTTCATACAATAGTTTAAACTGAAAATATTCGAATAGGTATTTGAATTATAATATATCATAAATTCATAACCTAACCTACACGATTTGTTGATGAGGGTTTCTTTTGTAGAATGACACTGTTTCGCTATAAGAAATAATATAATATTTTTCGATAATTGACTTTACAAATGAGGTGTAAGTAGATAATAAATGAATAGCATCATTTTAAATATAATATCATTATATAGCGTTTAAAATATTTACAGTTACTGTCGTTGAATACTAACGAAAAATCTAATCTAACGGTTGTCAAACCGTATCGACATTTAATATTTATACTGTCTGTTACATTGTTATAAAACAGTTCAATAGGAAATAATTTATAATGTTACTGGCCGTTAATGATATTTGCGAAAAAAGTCAAATTTTCCATAATAACTCGCGTAAGAATAAAAATTTAACAACGATAATTAATACGAAACAGTTTTTGAGATCACGATCCTAATAAACATCTCAAAAACGCAACTATAATTATAGTTTAAATTGTCGAAGGATAATTGTTAAAGGATAATTAATTTCTTTTTTACTTTCAACTACCTACTCCAATCATTGTATTTGTGGGCGTAACACGATTACACACTTTTTACTTTTTTATATTTGAAAGAATACTACACAATTGTGCACAAAATTAATTTAATTTTATATTGTTGAATTAAATGATTATAGTCTACAAAATTATAATTCAAAATATGAACTAAGTGTTTGGTCAAAACAATTTTTTTTGCTTAGATGTTTACCCTCGGGAGATGTAGAGGATGCTTTTGCTTATTTAATAGAATATAGCCCTTCTAATAATTTCGAATTCATTGATTATATACTCAATAATTATAAATAATCTGATGCCGCTTTTCCGCCAATTTCATAGGCAACTAAAGCTGAACCTTCAACAGAGGCAAGAACTTATGGCAAGTAAAGATAATTAGGTAAAAGGTGTGCAATCACATTATGTTTTTTTTCAGGTAAAAAGGTAAAAGGCAATCTTGTTGTACCAGTATTTATAATCGATCGGTTATTTTATTATACATTATTATTATTATAAATAAATGGTTAGTAGTGATGTAAAAAAATTATTATAAAATATGAATCTGGAAAATATGTTTTTACTATTTGAATTACTACAGTTTTCATTGAGTGTAAACAACGTGAATTTATTGTAAATAGATATCTTCAAACAGACTATCTATTAATAAAAAAAAATAAATATATTATATTCTTTGGATAAACGCAAAACGAGAAGTAAAAAATAAAAACGATAAACGCGTCTTTATATCGATGGGGTAAACTGAAATTCGCTAACATAGCGAATCGTTTAATATTAAACAAAACTATTTCATTGATAGGTACCGGTATATTTCTTTATTAAAATTTTATAATTATTAAACTATAGAATTACAACAGAAAATTAGTCGGTGTACAATGTAATGAAATTATACATTATACACAATAATAACTCAATCATGACACGAG